GCTTCACTGACTCTCGCCGTATTCCACAAAGGGCAGCAGAGTTTCTGTCGACTATCAAATCTTACATCTTTGAGTGGACTTTATCATTAGCCTCTTCACACGTTGTTGTTGTTAGGTGCCATTGAGTCAGTTCCAACTCACAGTGACCCTCGGTACAACAGAATGAAACACTGCCTGGTCCTGCGCCATCCTCACAATTGTTGTTATGCTGGAGCCCATTGTTGCAGCTACTGTGTCAGTCATCACTGAGGGTCTTCCTCTTTTCCTCTTTTGCACTGACCTTCTCCTTTACCAAGGATGATGTCCTTCTCTAGGGACTGATCCCTCCTGACAACATGTCCAAAGTATATATGAGACATAGTCTTGCCATCTTGCTTCTAAGGAGCATTCTGGCTGTACTTCTTCCAAGACAGATTCGTTCGTCCTTTTGGCAGTCCATGGTATATTCAGTATTCTTCACCAACACAATTCAAAGGTATCCGTTCTTTGGTCTTCCTTATTCATCGTACAGCTTTCACATGCATATGAGGTGATTGAAAACACCATGGCTTGGGTCAGGCGCACCTTAGTCTTCAAGATGACATCACACATTCAGGGGCACTTATCCAGGGGCACTCAAGGTTCTGGTGGGGACCCCACAATGCTTTTTGCATCTCTCACTTCCTCTCCAAACTCTATGCCTTTTCTCCCTCACTTGGAGGCTCGGTATTGACTGTAAGGCGAGGGAAAATATTGTTCTGCCCGTTCTCATCCCCTTTCAGATGGTTTCCATCTTTCTCCTGGATCTGTGCATTTTAACCTTAAACCCTTAGAGTCTGCTGCTTTGTCCTCTGTCCCAAATGATGACCCCAAGCCTGTCTCCAGAAGGAGGGATGGGAAAGGAGAAGAAGAAGAAACAGTGGTTAATATCTCAAAATGTCCCGTCACCTGCAAATATAAGTCATCCTTTCTTGACACAAACCTTTTCTCTATGTCACTCAAGTTATATGTAACTTCTTGTATGAGGTATACTAAATCCTAACAAGTTCTTCTTAAAGCTCGTGATTGAAATGTCCAGTGGCTCCATTAGCAGTGCTCAAAACATCTTTAACTCAGAGGGGTGCCAAATGGGTTACTTTAGGACCAAAACAATAAAATGAATTATTAGACTAAGGTTAATTGATTAATTTGTAAGGGATTTTATCAACTCTAAGTACAGATGTTTATTATGTATCCATCTTTCTGAGAGATGGAACAGAATGGTGGTCAAGCACGTAGGCTCTGGGAGAGCATTTGCAGGCTGTGTGACCTCACTGTGCTTCCGTTTTCTCATCTGTAAAATGGGAATGACAGTCCTATCTACCAAAAAGAGTTGATATGAGAATTAAAAGAATTAATAAATGTAAAAAAATTAGAACAGTGATTAGCACATAGCAAGTGTTAGGTTAGGTAAATGTTAGCTGGGATTATTTTGAGGGTTCATAAGCCTCCTGAAACCCTCATTGTGAAAGCCAGGAACAGTTGGGATCATGGTTCTGTGGTCTTCTTCTCCTGGCCAGATCCTCCTCCTCTTCCTCCTCCTCCTCCTCCCATCTCCTCCTCCTCTTCCCCCATCTACTCCTCCTCCCTCTCCTCCTCTCCTTCCACCTTCTCCTGCTCTTTCTTCTCCTCCTTTTGAATGACCAAGCATCCTGTCTTTAGCCCATGGACCATTCTTCTGAAGGGCATGCTGGTCGGTACCTGGCTTGTCCCTCCCCTCTGCACTGATATGCTAGGGCATGGTACCCTCATTCAGCTTGCAAGAGCCCAAGGTTTGTTGAAAAGACTCCCACCTCACTTCTCCTTTGGAAGAACTGCATATGAGCCTCTGGATTTCTATGTTGAGTGTACCTGTGAAATGTTCTCCATTTCCTGAATACCCTAGTCCATACCATGCCTTCCTCTCTCTAAACTTTATCTTTCTTTGAACTCCTTTCTGGGTTCCACGTGGGTATCACATGTGGCCTGATTCACATAACCTACCCCAGGATTGGTAGACTGCTCCATTAAAAAATACATCACCGTGCAGGTAAAGAAAACAGTGGAAACTTGCAACATCTTTTGAATGAAATGTAAATAATTTATTCTGAGTTGTCATATACTGAGGTAGTATTGGAAATTTTCCATACACCACACACAAATACATACACACACCTAAAAGTTTCCCTTTGCTATGAATCAATAATTTAAATATCAAATCCACTGTCTAGTTATTCCTTTTAACTTAGGGAGAACATATCACTGTTAACCATTTCCTCATATTAAAAATGTGTATTGATAACTTGTATGCATTTTGGGCTATACATGGCCATTTATTGTTACTCTCAAGTCATTTCTCAGCTCATTATTCTCCAAACACCAAGTCTTCTTTCCATCCAGCGTGAAGGGGATATAATAGTTGGACTTCTAAGATGGAAAAATAAAGTCCTATCCTTCCCTTCATGGCTTATTCAGATGTGACCGGGTTCTTCTCTGTCTACGTTTGGAAAGATGGAGGGAGAGGGAGGGGCAATGTCTGGAAGACTGAGCACAGAGGATTACATGAGAGAGAAGATGATGGCAGAGGAGGAAATAGTGTCAACACCAACAAGAGAACCATTTGGAGTAACAGGAGCTGGAGTAGGGAAGCAGAACCTCTCTGGGCAGGTTATTCACCATCTTTGTGTTTCAGTTTCCTTGTTTATAGAATAAGAAGAAGAATGCTGGGGTTTGAAGAACTAAAAGAGGTTACAAATGTCGAAGCCAGTAGCTAGGGCTTGGAAAGAAGTGACTGGATGGAGGCCATCTTTAAGACTTATGCGTCAGCCTGCCTAAATTCCCAGGAATATTCCCAAGGCTCTTCAGAGGGTCAAGACTATCTCCCAGGTGTTAAAATGTGTTGTTGATATTCATCTTCCAATATGTAAACATTGACCCCACACTCTGAACTCTGCTCTCTTCCCTTTTCTAGATTCCTTCCTTAGTTTTAGGGAAGAACCCAACAATGCCAAGGCTGAGTAAGCTCAGGTTTCCATTCTCTTCTGGGCTAGGCACAGGGGGCGGGGAGGCAGATATGTAAAGAGAATATCCTGTTTTGGCATGTCAAGAGAGTGTTGGGAGTTACCATTTGGTATGGAGAGGAAGCACCTTCCTCCCTGGGAAGGGATGTCACATCCAGCCACCCAAGCTCCAATAAGCAATGCCCAAACCTCCAACGTTTATCTTTGCTTCCTGAGACTGGGGCTGGAATCTAGAGATAGTTTAGTGAGTTCTAGCTGCCTCCCCAGTATCTCAAGCTCTCTTGGGCTGGAGACACAAAGTTGGGACAGGAGAAGGTATTCGGCGTGAGTTGGTGGTGATGAGAAACGATGTGAATGTGACTTCTGATGTAGGATGGGATGAAGTTGTTTGTTTTTTTTTAATCTCATATTTCATGCAGGGCTGGGCTGAGGATGTGGCAGGCATGGCGTATGCCCTACGGTCACTGCCAGAGGGGGCTCCCTGCCTGCCACAGGTGAGAGCCAGCTCTGGGATGTCTGCCCTACGGGGAAGGGGAGGTGGAGAGGGCCAGTGGGGGAGGGGTGGGAGGGCTCCGCTCCACCAGAGGTGGTCCCAGGAGGACCTGGCCATAGACCCCAAAACCTCATTTCATGAGTGTAATTTTCTTAGATCGTAAATGAAATTGCAATAGATTAAACCCTTACATTCGTTGATTTTTATACCGCACCCTCTTCTCTGAACACTACATGAGCGTATAAAGCGTACCTAGCTGCATTCCATTAATCAAACCTGCGTGTTTCATCATCCTAATATTGCAATTCCATTTTCGTATTAAGCATTAGTTGTGTTCTGTTAGGAGTCCCTGGGTGACGCAAAGGGTTAAGTGCTCAGCTGCTAACTGAAAGGTTGGTGGTTTGAAACTCCCCAAAAGCACCGTGGAAGAAATGCCTGGCAATCTACTTCTGAAAGCTCACAGCCATTGAAAACCCTGTGGAGCACAGTTCTACTCTGAAACACATAGGGTTGCCATGAGTTGGAATTGACTTGATGGCAACTGGTTTGTTTTTTTATTTTTTTGTTTTTTTGGTTTGTGTTCCATTAAGTTTGGCGATTGCCCACCCAAAACAAATGGCATATAGTCTTGATAAAATAAGAGATTGACTTATGACCCTGGACATGATACACTTTAATCTCAGTTTTTGACAAATGCTTGTAAAATTTGCATTCTGGATTTTCAGTGTCATATTCTCCTCTCCTCACCCCTGCCTTTCTCTGCCTCAGTTACTCTTTATTATTCCGTAAATGACTGAACGACAAATCTCCCACAACTTATTTCCACGTCCTGACTCCAAATTCAAATCTCTTTTTTAAAAAATCACCCACACTCAGCCTTTTCTCATTGCCTACTTTCTCAGGGTTATTTTTAAATATTATTTTATGCCTCTTAATGTAAATAGCCGATCCTTTCTTCCCCAAATCTCCATATCTTAAAAGATCAAGTATACCGATCACGTTCAGTGGCTTTCAAGTTGAAGTACTGAAAGCACTGGCCCGAGAGAAGCTAACCGTGGTTACTTGATTAACTCTGAAGCCTGTGTCATAGGATAAGGCAGAAAATAAAGTTAAAAATTTTAAATATACATCTAACATATTCAACCTCTTCTACAACTACCGGTAGCCATAGAGTCGATTCCAACTCACAGAGACCCCATGTGTATCAAAGTAGAACTGTGCTCCATAGGGTTGTCAGTGGCTGATTTTTCAGAAGTAGATCATCAGGCCTTTCTTCCGAGGCACCTCTGGGTGGACTTGAACCTCCACCTTTTCAGTTAGGAGCCGAACGCATTAACCATGTGTACCACCCAGGAACTCAGTCTACAACTTGGTCTTGGTAATTCAACCTTTTTGGCTCCTATAAACAACAATCTAAAAACCCACTTACGCACTATTTACTTATAGGATTTCTTGCCTCCGCTTCTAACGTCCTTTGCCTCTTTCTGCAGTGGTCAGTGTACATCCGAGCTGCTGTTCGGAAAGAGAAAGGGCTGCCCATCCTTGTGGAGTTGCTGCGAATAGACAACGACCGCGTGGTGTGCGCCGTGGCCACAGCCCTGCGCAACATGGCCTTGGACGTCAGAAATAAGGAGCTCATCGGTAAGGTTTACATTGGCTTAGTTTTGAAATGAAACTCTTTTCTTGCGGACTGCGTATGTTTTGAACTCGAATGCAAAACAGAAACAGTGTATTTACTAGAGGCCTTGTTTTTCCAGCTCTCCTTCTAGTTGAAGTCCAGTGCACTGATTTGTCTTGTAGAATTTAGAGGAAAATGGTGGGCAATGGGGTGTTTGTCAATATCACGAATCCTCGCAAATTAAAAATGCTCAGCACTCGCTGTGGTCGCCACAGACCTCTGCGTCTCTGTCAGACTGTTTGCTTCCTGCGCAGTGAACTGTGGAATACGATGGGATCCGTGTCACTCTTCTTCCCCTTTCCACTGTTACATTTACTTTGGATGAGACCATGTTGTCACTGTTGTTAGCTTCCGTCCAGTTGGCCCCCAATTCATGCTGACCCCATGCACGATGGAACAAAATGCTGCCTAGTCCTGTGCAATCCCCAGGATTGGTTTCGGATCAGACCATTGTATTCCACAGGGTTACCATTGGCTGATTTTTAGAAGTTGATCTCCAGGCCTTTCTTCCTAGTCCATCTGGAAGCTCTCCTGAAACCTGTTCAGCATCATAGCAACACGCAAGCGTCCACTGACAGATAGGTGATGTCTGCCCATGAGGTACCTTGGCCTGGAATTGATCCTGGGTCTCCAGCAGAGAAGGCAACAATTCCACCACTCAACCGCCATAAAATGAAAAAGCTAACCCTGTTGCCATTGAGTCGATTCTGACTCACAGAGCCACCATACTGGCCCTTTAATCCCATTTTTTCAAAAAATTATATCCCTTTAATTTGATATGCAAGAAATACAGAGATTCTTTTACTAATGAAGCATTAAAGAGGTAATACATTCATTTATTTATTCAAAAGGTATTTATTCATGACCTACTTCATTCTAGGCCTGTCATTATATCAATGAGCAAAATAGATAGAAAGCCTTCTTTGTGAAGTTTGCATTCAAGAGAGAGAAGTTGTACGATAAGCACAGATGAATCATGGTGTGTTAGAGAAGCACCATGGGAAAACAGAGCTGGATAAAGGAGACTGTAATTGGTGGGAAAGTATGGGGTTGCCATTTTAAAGGGGTGGTCAAGATTGGAGCTTTGTGGGAGGTAGCGTTTGAGCAAGAGTTAAAGGTTGGGAGGGAGCGTGCCATGTGGATAGTTGGAAGAACGTTCTAAGCTGCACATGTTTTGCTGGAGTGGGAGCAGGCCAGTGGTTTCAGCCTCCATGGAGCCTAGTATGCCTGGTGCAGAGTGAATGATGGGAGCCCAAGTCAGAGAGACTTGCTGGTACCTGCCTCACAAGGCTGATCGACACCTCACAAGGATGTGCCGCGGGAGCAGAGGGAACCTCCCAGCACAGTGTCCAGATTAGCAGATGATTCTGGTGAAGATGCAGGTCGGGTGCAACATGAGGTCTGGAAGCCTGGTTGTAGGTAGCAGGTGTTGATGGACGGCAGCTGGAGGCCAGGTAGCAGGCAGCTGTACCACCCACCATGGCAAAGGTTCAGGGTGATGAAGCCTCTGGGGGACCGGGAGAAATGAGGTGAGAGTAGGCACAGGGGCAAGATACCATTCCTGGGGAAAGTGGTATGGCTGGCATGGGTCTACATTTCATACACAAATTTTTCATAGATACATAGGTCTGCTTCTGCTCTCCCAATTCCTAAGCATGGTACACTAAGTCCTTTGTGCTCAGGGAACCAGACACTGTCTCTCCTGCCATTTCACAATACCCATCTTATCCTCCAATAAAAGCCAAACTATTCACAGGTCCCCAGCCATTTGTTTATTCACAGAAAAACCAGACTTCAAATCTGTGTCTACCACATGCAGTTATCTGTTATATTTACAGTACATTAAAAGGCATTGAAGTGCACTCACAATTTAATGTTTGTACTTAGTTTGAATTATGATATTGGTGAAGAATATTGAATTTACTGTGTACTGCCAGAAGAGCGAACAAATCTATCTTGGAAGAAGTAGAACCAGAATGCTCCTTAGAAGCAAGAATGGCGAAACTTTGTCTCACATTCTTTGGACGTGTTATCAGGAGGGATCAGTCCCTGGAGAAGGATATCATGCTTGGTAAAGTAGGGAGTCAACGAAAAAGAGGAAGACCCGCAACAAGATGGATTGACATGGTGGCTGCAACAATCAGCTCAAGCATAACAACAATTGTGAGGATGGCACAGGACCGGGCAGTGTTTTGTTCTGTTGTACACAGGGTCACTATGAGTGGGAACCGACTCGACGGCACCTAACAACAGCAAGACTTAGTTTGAATTTAATATTATTTATGGATTTTGTATATTTAAACTAGGTTGTTAGCTCAAAAGGTCAAGACAGCCTCTCCATATTCACTTTCTTTTTTCTTGTGCACCTGCTTCAGACAAGCCAATTCTGGAGCTGCTAATAAAATCCTATCCTTCCTCTGTAAGGTGGAGGAAAAATCAATAGCTAATCAGTCTATTGCCTGGATAGTAACTACTACGCGTTGTGTGTTTGTGTGTTTTATTTCTTTTGGTGGATTAAAATATAACAAAATACTGAACTATTGATTGGTTTTGTGGCTTCTAGTCATCCCTTCTTTCTTGAAAACTGGTTATCTCTGGTGCTGCGTGTCAGGCAGGAACATTTGGAGTTCCATACTGCCCATGTTAAGTTAAGCCTTTACTATCAAATGTCACCAGACAGGAAATGGGGCCAACCATTTTAAAATAGAAGTGAAAATATCTAAGTCGCGGGCATCAATAACTTTTTTCTTGAATGAGAAAAGCAGAATTTAATTACAAAGCCAACATTTTGTTTTATTTAGGAGAAAGAAGATCTGACTTTCGTTAACCCCTTCACTTTAAATATTGTATCTAAGTAATAATTTTTATCGGGAAATGCTATACAGATCCTTATATACTGAACAGAAAGCTGCAATGACTTTGAACCAAGAACAACAACAACAAAAAATTTTTAACCTGGACCTCAACTCTCACTCAAAGCATTGGTGACCTCATATGGTTTCTTTGCTTTAAAGTTGATCTGTATTCTGAGGACTCCCAAGTAGATGTCTCAGCTGCCAGCCAAAAGGTCGGCAGTTCAAATCCACCAGCTGCTCCTTGGAAACCCTGTGGGGCAGTTCTACTCTGTCCTTTAGGGTTGCTCAATGGCAGCCGACTCAATGGCAGCGTGTTTGGTTTTGTTTCTGGTTTGGTGTGAATTCCAGATCTTTGTGTTCAACTCTGTTGAGCGTGTCCACTTGGATATCTAATGGTCATCTCAAGCATGACATAGCTGAAACTGAATTCCTTATCTTCCCCCCAAACCTGAGCCATCTGCAGTCTTCCTCATGACAGCAGATGGCAGTTTGTCCTTGCAGTGCCCCAGGATAAACACCTTAGGGTCCTCCTCGGCTCCTCCCCTGCATATCCAGTCCGTCCACAGATCTGCTCTTCCTTTCACATTGTCCCAGAATCTGACACTTCTCATCATCTTCATTGCTTTACCCCAGTCCAAAACTCCCATCATCTCTCCACTGGGTAATTACCATAGCCTCCTCTCTGTTCTCTCTGCTTCTAGCTTCACCCCCTACCGTCTCCTCCCAATGCAGCAGCCAAAGGGTCTTGTTAAACCATTAGTCAAATCATGTTACTCCTCTACTCAGAACTCTCCAGTGGGTCCTCTTCTTGCTTGGTGTAAAATCACACCTGCTAGACAGATAGGGCTCTACCTGACCCAAGTCTCTGTTACTGCTCCAGCATCAGCTTCTCTTCCTCTTACCATTATTAACTTTGCTGAAGCCACTGGTTCACTGTGGTGCCTTTATCACACGTGGCACAAGTCTGCCTCAGGACCTTTGAACTTGCTGTTCTTTCTGCCTGTAGTCCTCTTCCTCCAGGTGTCCACGTGGTTCAATCCTTACTTTGCTCACGTGTTTACTCCAATGTTACTTTCCCAATAGAACCTTTTCTGGCCGTCCTTCTTAAAATTCCGACCCCCTGCTCCTTTCTCTGTTTTATTTTTCTCCACAGCACCGATCACCTTCTAACACATAATGTGTTACTGATCTGTCTTGTTTGTTGTCCGTCTTTCTCCTTGGGATGTAAGCTCCATGAGGACAGGAAGTTCTGTCTTGTTTGCTCAGGTTTACCCACATTCTTGAACAGTGTCAGACACATCAAACCAACAAAACCAAACCAGTTGCCATCGAGTCAATTCCAACTCGTAGAGACCCCATAGGACTGAGTAGAACTGCCCCGTAGGGTTTCCAAGGAGCGGCTGGTGGATTCAAACTGCCAACCTTTTGGTTAGCAACCAAGCTCTTAACCACTGCGCCACTAGGGATCCGCCTGACACATAACGAAAAAAAAAAAAAAAACCATTGCCATCAAGTCAATTCCAACTCATAGTGACCCTATAGGACAGAGTAGAACTGCCCCGTAGAGTTTCCAAGGAGCACCTGGTGGATTTGAACTGCTGTGACACATAGTAGGGATTTAAATGAACTAAAAGTTTTACTGTCTGACCATTATTTTAAAATAAACCCAAATTATCAAAACATCAAGGAATCAAATAAAGATTATCTTAAAAAAAGAATTTATGCTAATAAAGAAGATAAACAAGCTGTTTATTTCCTACTAAAAATAGCTAAAGGTATGCAGACACTAATAACTCAGAAGGAATCCAGTTTTTTTTTTCCATTATTGGTTCTAGGGTTTCAGTTTAAATCACAACTCTCCTTTGATCATTTGTTTATTTAGGGCGTGGGGGTGGGTTACACAGTGCACTTAAAGAATGGTTCGTATTCCTTGGACCCCATTATCAGGAAAACTCCAAATAAACTATTAAGCAATAATCACCTTACCCCATTTGGTCTAATGCGAATCATATAGTAGAACTAAAAGAATGTAGCTTGTTCTGCCTCTCCTTTGTCTTCCCTTTGGGCTATTTCCATGGTTCTATGTATGTCTCTGCGAACCGGTGATA